TGGAGGAGTTTAAGTATCTCGGGGTCTTGTTCATGAGTGAGGGAAAACTGGAGAGTGAGATCGATAGGCGGATTGGTGCTGCATCTGCAGTGATGCAGGCATTGTACCGGTCTGTCGTGGTGAAGAGAGAGCTGAGTAAGAAGGTGAAGCTCTCGATTTACCGGTCGATCTATGTTCCTACCCTCACCTATGGTCATGAGCTTTGGGTAGTGACCGAAAGAACGAGATCGCGGATACAAGCGGCCAGAATGAGTTTTCTCTGAAGAGTGGCTGGTTTCTCACTTAGAGACAGGGTGAGAAGCTCAGTCATCCTGAAGGGGCTCGGAGTAGACTCTCCTCGAAGTAGAGAATGAATAAACGCCCTATCAGATCAAAAATAAAATTTCATTCCGATTGAGAGAGGAGGTTTTCTCCGACCATCATTCCGATTGACGTCCATGTACACACCCATTCGGATTAATGTCCACTGCGCATGTGTGCTACTCAGTGTGATGTATTTCCACCTTTGCAGATGCTCAGGACAAGTCGAAAACACGGCGGGAGGTAAACAGAAGGGGTCTGTTGCCGAGCAGTAGCATTACGTACCACTGAGCCTGTAGCTTGGTTAAAGCGATCAGTAAGAACAAAATCAAACAGGTAAAAATGCTAAGTGCACAAGTCAACAGACAAAGCTAGAGAATAAGAAAATAAAATGTGAGGGAAAAGACGTGCGGACAAGATGGCGTTTGTTGACTACTTATTTTACGGCAAAGACAACTCTGCGCATGCTAAACCTATTTAACCTGACTGAATGCTTGGTGCATATAAACTCACGGCATGATCGGATCTTTTCAGTTAGCATCCATGTAAACGGAGATTTGGGATTTTCGATCAACCAAGATTTCAATCAAATAGGGGAAATTTGGCGCATGTAAATGTAGCTATTGGTGAACTCCTTTGGTAGATTATATGGATGAAAACTTACAGCTAGAAGTTTAAGATGTGTGTTGCAACAACATTTGGCGCTATCATGTCCTGGATTACAGCAACTGTCGTTGACGACCACTGCCTTGCTTATACCGTCCCTCTTCTTTAACCTCCCTACAGAACCCCCTCTTCAGCGCGTCTGAGTGTTTTTGTTAACATGCGTGTTGAAACTATCTTATAACAATGTTATAAAGTAGTAAAGTAGTAAAGTAGTGTACAATCAAGAGCCTTTGGCTTCCCCTTGACTGAATTAGCCATAAAACACTCATAGTATCTGTGTGGGTGGACAGCTAATCAGAGCGGTTTCCTCACTGGCAGCTACAAGAAATACACATTCATGAATATTTAAACTCAAGACATTTAAAAGATTGAAACATGTTAAACTTAACATGTTTGACTTTTTAAACAAAGTGTTTTGTTACTCAGTGATAAACTCCTCACACCTTAATTCAGACACATAACAGTAAAGAGCCATTAGATTTAGTACATTAAGTGAGAACAAAGTCACTAATAGATTATTGATGTTACAATAACAAGCGCAGTGTGGCTGATTAAAACAAATCAGAGGTGGATAGAAAGGGCTTTTGAGCTGAACTGTTTCAGATTACCTTCTGGATGAGCATCTGACTTTGCCGTGTAACAAGGGGCATTTCAGCCATCAGGCTGTATTGATCACTTTTTTTTTTATCCTAAAAACATCAAGGTCCATCCACCAGCAGTTTTTGTGCTTAACATTGGCACATCCTTCTCTGGACTCTGAATTGTTTTACATCACTTTACTCTGTAGAAATAAATTTTTTTGTCATTTAAACACATTTTTAAGTGATTGTTGTTTTGGCACCAAGTATGATTAGCTTTTTGTAAATGCTCCTTCTATAACAATTCTGTCCAGATTCAGTTTTTAGCCATTTTTTTTCCATAATCTGTAAACTGTGATGTTTTCCTTGCCTTGCTCTCAAATGTTTGACCTCCTTTTCATTTGGAAAAACTTGTGACTTTTGACTTCTAATAATGTAGTTTGGTGTTTGCCATAACCTTTATGGAAGCCATTTTAACAGCACTTAGTGAAAACATTCAGAGTTTGAATTTAGTCACAGAAACCCCTCCATGGTGTTTTAGATGAATAAAACCCTAACCCTGATTTCTGTCTCATCATCACAAAGTTTTTTTAATTTGCTTTGGAGACTGATCCTGTGAAAGGTCTTCACGATATAAATAAATGACATATTTCTCTATTTTATAGTTTTTCTCTTCTGTCATGTGGGATTGTTGTTTTCCAGACCAGATCCACCCCTGAAATTCACACAGGCTCCTCACAGAGCTACTTGCTGAGTGTTTGTGTGTGTGTGTGTGTGTGTGTGTGTGTGTGTGTGTGTGTGTGTGTGTGTGTGTGTGTTTTGACATGCTTTGAGTAGTAGGAGTTTGCTCTGATCCACTTCCCGCACCATCAGTCCCAGCGCTCTGCAGCCCCCCAGTGCCCATGCCCCCGGGCCGTATAATCTACTGTATGAGAGGTTCTTCTGCTGCCCACTACCCCCTCCCCCCAAGTTGACAGGGTGACCCCTCACTCTTCTACTTTAGTGCTGTCCCCCCAATGGGAGATTATAGATATTGCAATCTTTAATATGGGCTTTATGCTCAGGGCCCATTATCAGTAATCTGCAGAGGGGAGGGAGTCTGACCTGGATTTTGCAGCACACCACTGGACTGCCAGACACATTTTATATACCATCTGTAACATGTTGCCTCAATTTATCACTCTCTGACCAGAGGCGCTTCTTTTAAAGGAAGCTAAAGTTATTGACCAACGCCATAGGATGGAGACGATAGCATTGCCTTTTTCTTCATATTTGTAAACTTACTCAGAACCACCGTACTGACTCTGTTTTTATAAATGATATTGGACTTTTATTGTCACTGTTGCTTTGATGGACTGATGACATCATCTTTAAAAAGACACGGTGAGATCCTCCTGCAATCCAACTCAACACCCCACACCACGGCTGAACCAGTGACAATCGGCAGAGCTGCCAGAGTCCAACCCTCAACAAGAAATAGGTTCAACTCATAGCTACATGTACTGACTAGATTGATGAAGGACTAAGTGAGCCTTAATAAAGGGCAGTTCATCCCGTACAACCAGAGCCTCACCACCACCACCACCTCACGCCCTCTGGGGACAGTTGTGCTTTCTCCAGACCCACAAAACACATGCAGATTGGTTCAACAAACTATCATGGCTCCTTAAGGGTAAAGACCAAGTCAGTTTCACTAAGACAAAAACGTTATTGCTCATTGTCAATCCAACATTCAACTACTAACCAGATCATCATCTGGAGTAGCTTGAGGTTCACCTTTTGGAGGAGTGGAATCCCTCCAAAAACACATCACGCTATCAGGTCCCCTTTCTTTAAAATGGGAACCACTAACCCACTGCAACTCCACATGCGTTGGCCGCGTTGACAACACAATGTTGCAGGTGCATGTCAGCCAAGACAATCCTACAACATTCATAGCCTTGAGATACCCAGGACAGATCTCGTCAACCCCTTCCCCCGCACAGATGTTTGACAACCTCAATGACATCGACCCCACAAAAGTGAGATTTCATGTCCTGATTCCCTGTGTTAATGTCTAGGGATCATACCGCTCAAGCTTCTGCCTTGGTCTGCATGCTGATACACCATGCACTGGACCCTTTATGCTCCTCCTGCAGGTGCTGGGTCCACACTTAAACAAGCTCATGTGAGCCGTTCATGCTGGGCAAGAACAGACGGCCACAGGAGATTCAGTCCGGCATGTTTGTAAAGTAAATTAAAGTAATCTGTACTTCTGATTCAGTTCAATAGTTGCTCTTGACACCCCCCCCCTCCCCCGAACTAACCGATTCATGTATGAGTTGAGAGAAAAATAGTCAACAGTAAAATTTTTAAGGTTTTTTTTACATGAGAAGGTGATGAATCTAACATCATTTTATTTTGAAAGGCCAGTTGCTAGTTTAGTTTTTCAACCATGACCACTTCTGTTGTTCAAAGAACAAAACATAAAATAATATTTGCCTGCAAAGTTTGTCAAATCTAACAAACATTTCTAATGATTTTTGCCATCTTCATCTTTCTTTCACTTCATAAATAACTTTATTAAACATGCAGCAAATACAAAACATATATTTTTTATAAACTGTGCCAAAAAATATATACTTATGACAATCAGATCAAATATAGACCAAGGTGATGTCTTACAGGTGTTGCTGCACTGAATGAATGTATTTGAACATTTGGTAAATGAGTGAGTGTTACGACATACAGTAATTTAAAATCTGCATCCACATCTGTCTTCCTGGGGTGTGACATCCCCCACCCTCACCTTCTCTTTTAATCCCTCACGCAATGACCTCACATTTGGTTAAACCCCGAATTTTTCCTTTTTCCACTCTCCTTCCTCTAGAGGTGTGTGTGTGTGTGTGTGTGTGTGTGTGTGTGTGTGTGTGTGTGTGTTTAATCTGTGTGCCTATGAATAACATCCCTGTGTGTGACTGTTTATTGCAGCGTGTGTGCGTGTGTGTGTGTGTGTGTGTTAAATATGTAAGGAGATTAAATAGACTTAAATCTCTGCGTCTGGCATAGAAATTCCAATCATATAACCCATGAGCATGCCCCCCCCCCCCCCCCCCCCTCCCTGTGTCTGTTTGTTTTTGAGTATGTGTGCACACACTCTGTATGAACATAACAGGCTCCGCCCACCTCCACCACTCCACCCACCCCCATCCTTTCCACCTAAACCATCACAGGCTTTAGCCCAAATCCCAGGTTTTTTTCTGTCACATGACTGATGTTTGCAGCTGGACATTTGACATACATTTGTTATAAATATTTTATGACACATCTGAAGGACATCCCCATCGTTTTTAATGTGTATCCATTACTGTCACAGATCATTGATGCTAAGTTTGACTCGTACAGGTGCTCGTTGTTTGCTTTGGGGTTCTGCCTTTTCCGTTTGGGTGTTTACATTCTGCCTGTTTTCTTCTGCAGTACACAGTGAGGATGTGGGCTCTACCAGGCTGTACTTTGTGAATGCTTCCCTGCAGAGGGTAACCTACTCCAGCTCCGTGGGGGTGTCCCTACCCTGTCCTGCAGGGGGCACCCCCAGTGCCATTCTGCGCTGGTACCTGGCCACCGGCGATGACATCTACGATGTGCCCCACATCCGCCATGTGCATACCAATGGCACCCTCCAGCTGTACCCCTTTTCCCCCTCTGCCTACAACAGCTACATCCACGACAATGACTACTTTTGCACCGCCGAGAACCAGGCCGGCAAGATCCGCAGCCCCAACATCCGCATCAAAGCTGGTGAGTTAGTGAAAGTTAGAAAACAGGAGTCAGTGAAATGAAAGTTCACACACGACATAGTGGGACGCATTACACAGAGCAGTGATTGTGATTGACAGCTGCAAAAAGGCTCAACCTACATTGAGTCACCTGCCCTAAAATGGTCCCTGACCTGAACACAGATTGACCTAGAACACAGTCTACAGATAGAACATCTGCATGACAGATCACATCAGGCCTCTGCTTTCACTCACATCCGCCAGACAGGGCCAGTAACTAAACACGAGTAGTACTCTGACATCACCCCTTCAGCTCCAGCATCGAACTCCCAAAAATACAAAACAGAAAACTTCTTGTTGATTCAAGAAAGATCACAAAGTGTTAAGACAGCAGGTCTCACGACTCAGCCATAATCTTGAAATGTAACCAAAGAGGCTTTTCTCTGATTTTTGCAGAAGGGTACAAATGCAGTTCCCCACCTCTAAATCAGAAGCTCACTCATTCTAAAAGTGGAAGATCTGCTTTAAAAAATACGGTTGGATTTATGTTTTAGATGCAAAGAGAATAAAATCCTGTTTTGAGTTGACCATTTAAATTGAAGATCAATACATAAACACCATCAAACGCTGCAGACGATCCAATTTTAGGATGTTTTGACCAGATTTTGCCTCTGTTGCTATCACGTTCTCCTCTCTTTCCTCCCCCTTCTCTCTGCTCCCTCCTTCCTCTCAGACCGTCCTCTAAATTTAGCCACAACACACTTCTTTAATCATCTCTCATTAACAACCTTAATTGGTGCTTTTCATTGATTAGCCAACGTGAGGCAACTTTAATAAGCGAGACCTCATCTAAAGTAAAACTAAAGTACATCTGGGGGGTTTGGGCTCCTCCAGCTCTTTAGAGTTTAACTGAAACGAGGGTCCCCGCCTTCTTTATGCTTCCTGCTGTTCATTCAGGCTATTTGGCTCCTCCCATTCCCTCCTGCCATCAACATCTGTTTTCATATTCTGCCTCCCAACACTGACCTGAACTAATACTTTTATTTGTTCTAATATTAACATGAGTGCCATGTTGGGGATTTGAGCCAGGACCCTAAGAGCATGAGACACGGCAGCCAGTTGCTGCCTTCATTCCCGCATGACCAGAAAAGCCCGGCCTAGGGAGCCAAGGGATTAGCAGGAACGCACATCCACACCAGGCCCTGCTAGCTTCAGTGAACGGGTCACGCTCAGACAGAATGCGGATGTTTTGTTATGACGCGGCGGTGATGGTGTTGCACTTCCCCTCCCAATGAACACTCACTGACAAGAACCGCATTCAAATGAGCCCAGCCGCCTTCGGCAGCAACATCTAAATTCACATCAGAGATGGCTCGTTATGTCAAGAAAAAACCCCAACAGATCTGCTTTGTTGAGTCCGTCCGTTTTAAACGAGATGTAAATTTCCGTGTGTGTTTCTCCCTTTGCAACACGGATGTATGTGTGTCATTTTCGTGTCTGTTACCAGGCAAAGGGATTCCAAACCAGTCTCTTAGCAACCTTCAGATACGTCCTAGCTTTCATGTGATTTTACTAATGAGCTCCTGCTCATTCAACAGAGTAAAATATTGCATGAACCAGCGTAAAGTAAAGCGCTATGTGTTGTGTCCTGATCAAGTTTTGTGCTAAAAGCTGTGTTCCTTGATGAAACAGTGTCAGGACATGGCGTCCATATTGTTTTTTTGTTTGTTTGTTTGTTTTACTGGTGCCCTGTGCCATGCACGGTGAATGTAGAGGCAGGCCGAGATGATTTTATGACAGCATACTTCTATGTTTAGTCTATTCTTGCGTGAAATGCTACAATAAAGAGTTTTTGATGTTGTGTGTGCTTGTTGTAGTTTTCAGGGAGCCCTACGCTGTGCGGGTGGCGGACCAGCGCTCGATGCGGGGCAACGTAGCAGTGTTCAAGTGCCTCATCCCTGCTGTCGTTCAGGAGTATGTCAGCGTTGTGTCCTGGGAGAGAGACACCGTTTCCATTGTTCCAGGTAGGAAATCAAATTAATGAGCCAGTTTGATTGCTTTGAAAGTGCCAGATTTAGAAATGTCTATATTTTACACCTTAGTGGTAATTTTGTGTGAGGAGGGTTTGATGCACAGCTGTGCTTGACCAAACTCCTAACGTGTGTCTTGTGCCTGCTTACTGTTCTGGATCACTGATCCGGTCGCCCTCCTCCTTCTCCCCTGTCCTCTTTCCCTCCCCTCCATCCTCCTCCTGGTTTCTTTTGACGTTTCCCCATCTCTGTCTCGCCTTTCACTGCTTTTCTCATCACATTCAATTTTCCCAAGCTCATGTCAAGTCCTGCATGTAATTGTGCTTGACACTAAAGAAAACGAAAGGCAGACTCCCTTTCCAAGTCACTTGACTGTTCCACAGTTTCTGCTCATTGGATCTATTTCGGTCCACTCCCTGCTTGTCTTCCCACCATGTCCTTGAAGAACAGGGCCACAATTAGAGACACGGGATGTCAATAGGACCGTGCCCTCACATTCATCTTCATTAACCTCATTTGTGTGTGAGAATGTCTGAGGATAGGACAGAGAAAGAGAAATGTTCACCTCGGTCTTTATGTCTGCTGTCTAGCCTTTGATATTGTTATGTTTGGGGTCGGCTCAGGATTATTTTACGCATTTACAACCTTTGTGAAAACAGAGCAGGGGGGAGAGGGAAAAGAGAAGCAAAGAGGCTAGTAGGGCAAGAACAGCCTCAGGTTCTGAAGCAGATGGTGTTTTATTTTATTTGTATGCAGAAAAACAGATAGCATAATGCACACATGCTTTACATACACCAAAACCGGATTAGGCGTTTATTTATTACCAGATCTTTGGGTTAAACATTTATTTGTTTTCATATCATTTGACTTTTTTGCAGAACCAAACAACAACAACCAAATTGAAGCCGATTCTGATGCTAAAATGTTGCTATTAGCTATTGCACATTTTATTACACTGTATGTAAACATGTGCGCAATTGTAGTGAACAAAACAATTTTGTTTAAGTCTAAAAATGTGGGAATTTGTATAGCGCATTCTAGGGTTCTCCAACCCCCTAAGGCGCTTCACAACACATTCATTTATACATCCACACACACACACATTAACACACTGGTGGTGGTGATGAGCTACAATGTAGCGGCAGCTGCTGGGGCTGGGGAGCACAGACGCCACCGGTCCCTCCGGCCACCGTCAGGAAGCAGGAAGGTGGAAGTGTCTTGCCCAAGGACACGACGATTGCAACAGACTGAGCGGGACTCGATCTCACAAACGTACCGGTTATGAGATTGGCGCTTAACTCCTCTGCCACCGCCTCTGCCTCCCTATTTTGACTTGAAATCATTATTAATATTATTAAATCACATTTCATCATGCCTGGTTTTTCTTAAAGTTGCTTTGCGAATCTACAGAACAAGCTAGGTTTGGAACGCAAACACGGTCTGTGAACACTCACCCCTCTGCTTGGGTATCTTCCCTGACCTGAGATGCTTCTACCAGAACTGGAAGCTCACATTTCAAGAGGAAACGAGATAGTGCTAAGCACCAGTCGTTGTGACATCTCATGGTGCATTTTTTTTCTTTGGGATTCTGGTAGTTCATCCTAAAGTAGAAGTGGTAGCAGCCGGCTGTTTCTCCTTCTCTGATAGTATTGAGCAGAGAACCTTGCACACCAGTGATGTTCTGCTGCTAAACACACAAGTGTGTAATGAGTGGAGGATCCAGGGAAGTGCGGTGGTTCTGTGAGACTGACAACCGGATGGTCCAATAGTTGGTTTTGGACTGAAAGGTTATTGGCGGAGGTTTTCAGACAAATACAAGAAAACCCCTTTATTCATTTTTTATTATCTCCACAATATATTTATGGCTATGTTAGAATGTTAAGAAGCATATAAAAATGTTTTAATTTGATTTCCAAATTTCCCATTGTAGCGTTAATCAACAAAAATGGACCGTAAACAATAAACGTTTTCACAAATTTTGAAACCTCTTTTACAAAACCCTTTTCTACTCACAAATGTTGTTTTTGTAGATGCAGTTGATTGATTTTGTATTTGTTTTCCACTAGAATCAGTTCTGATCTGTGACCGTCGTGCTGTTTTACCTTTTACTTGATTGTCTCGTGTTTTCACAGTGACAGAGCAACTTCTCAGAATTCACATATAGACCATCTTTGAATTAGTCGTTTCTCGTTGTTTGCGTTGCTTTCTTTTTGTATGGGGTGTGTTTGTGCTTGCTGTCATGAGGTTGCTGTGTGTAATTAGGGGTATATAGGTCAGTTGATGAGCAGTGAGTGTGAGAATCAGATGCTGAACATGATGAGCTGCTCACTGAGCTCAGCGTTTGTTTCGCTACGACATGCACTCAGAGATGTTTGCTTCAACCTTGTCAGTCAACTAACAGTGACCTCATCATTCTCACAGCCAATCAGCAGAATGCATGAGACAGCTCATGATCTGATGCACAGACCATCACACGAATATGCAGAGAAAAAATAAATGATGAAACATTTAGAAACTCTCACACTCCTCTTACTGATGCTCTCTGGTCGTTGAGGGTCAATCTGGCTAGATCTAATGACGATGTGAAAATTAAAATAGATTTTTGTGACTGGAAGCTCTCTGCGTGCCCGGGAGTGGCTGATTGCCTATCTTGTCTGTCACCATCTCCTGAGCTCTTCTTTTAAATCACAGCAGGAGGTATCGCCGTTGATCCGGATTCAGTGAAGCCGCTGCGTAGAGGTCACAGCATGTTTCTGCACAAAGTCGAGACACACTTTCATTAACTTTAGAAACTGTTTTGTCACACCACCAGCCAGCAAAACGGTGCAAGAGTTCACTTTAAAAGGATATTTCTGAGAAAGAAGATCACTTAAAATGTTCTAATTCATTAAATAAGAAATAGACAGAAAAGAGAGAAGAATCCCGTTAGATGATTGCAGTTTAACACTTTAACATGCATGTGCGTCCGTTCAATAAATACTTGGTGTTTAATTTAGCTTTTGAGCTAAATCTATTGTGCCATCAATGAACTCGGTGAAGAATCCCACTGAAATTCTGCTCTCTTCATAGAAATTTTGAGAGAAAGCGACAGGACGGTTCTGTTTCCTGTGAATTAAAAAATGCAAATGTGCTTCTGTTTTACTCCGTACGAGCACTTTTCCACCGCGGAGTCACTACACGCAGACAGCGATCATCAGCACAATCATATTCTGGTTGGAAGGTGGAGTTGATAACTTAATACAATGCAGCTGTGCCCTTTGAACCCAACAGGTTCCTTTTTGTCAAACGCACATGTTCCCCATCTGGTGCATTGTGTGTTTGTGCGAATGTACGTCCCCTCGCCTGTCCCACTTTCACGTCCAGCCAGGACAGCGGGGCGGGTTTAAGAGGGGAGGGGTGCAAGCAGACTGACCTATTTCCCTCCCTCTCCCCTGTCCCATACTGTACCATCCCTGTCGTTGGGCCTTGTGTGTGTGTGCGTGTGTGTGCGTGTGCGTGTGTGTGCGTGTGCGTGTGTGTGTGTGTGTGTGTGTGTGTGTGTGTGTGTGTGTGTGTGTGTGTGTGTGTGTGTGTGTCTGACCCTCACAAGGCTGCTAGCCTGAGCCATGATCTGAAAGACGAGGGCTTGAGGACAGAAATAAAAACAACTCGGAGAGTTTTCAGGCAGCATATCGAACCAGCAGAAAGCTAATGAGAGGCTCTGAAGAATAAAAAGCGGACCAGCAGATGGCTGCAGCCACATGGTGGCCCACAGAACCATGCCCCAGTGCCCTGTCTCACACACCTGCCACACGTTTGCTCTCACTTATGCAGTTTTTACAAAGTAATTTGATGCTCATGAAAAAGAAAAAGTGAGGGTAAAAGGACCCTGCTGCTGCAGCTGTGTTGGTATGTTGATGGAAACTTTGATCCCAGAGTGAGTCACCAGGTGGCGAGGTCACTTACAGGCTACATTACAGATCGATCCTCTGCCCCTCGGGTCCTTGCTGGATGTTGGGACGCTCAATAGACATGACAGCACACAGCCTAAATCCACATATCCATCCAAACCGCCGGGCAGCAACACTGCTCATCACCTAGTGGGACTGATGACCTGCACATTTTCTGTTAAAGGTAAAAATTGCAGGTTAAAAGAAAATTCAGGTGTATCATTGTTTTGTGATACTCTATTTATAGTCCCACAAACTACAGACTCAACAGAATTTAACCTAACTTTTTGGGGAACTTTCCTTTTAATAAAGATCAAAATGAGTGTTTTTGTTTGTGACACATAAACTCTGAGCCCCCTCCAGGTTCCTCTGGAGGTCTGTGTTAAAACTAGATTGAATTGTCTGCATAAAAGAGACTTTAAGCATGCTTTATATGAATCGTACTTGTTGCTATTTGAGAGGCCTTTAATAATAGGAATGAGTAATTAAAAGGGGACAGTCATGAAGCTCTTCGCAGGTGTTTGGTGAGCGAGCTGACAGGCAGACCTCATGGAGAGCAGCAGTGTGTGAGGACACGGTGTCTGTTGGTTCAGGAAATCTGTGCCTGTGCACTCGGAGCAGGAATACATTAATAGATACACTCCCTGGAACATGGCGGACTCTTGTAAACAGCGGTCTGACACACACGCATCCACTAAGTACAAGGGCACAAACCACAAACACACACACACTCCTGAAACGTAACACAATAAAGCCATTTTCAGATTTTGCAGAAAGCTGCATGAGCACTGAGAACTCATTAAACATTAACTCAGGATACATTAAGGCTGCGGCGGGCCTGCTGTGAGACGGCTGTCCTCCAGTTGTGGACACATCGGGACGTTGTGTGACAGAGGAGGACGAGGAGCACGTGTCGTCCCCAGGGCTCTTGCAACACATCGACCATCATCATTGGGTCAGACATCATCCCTCTTTCATCCGTCCCATGTGGCACGCAGCGGGCTCTGAGGGTGGAGGGGCTGCATCACGTAGATGAAGGTGAAGATAGAAACACCTTACTCCAAG